CAGCCATTGGCATGAAAACACTCCACTACAAGATCTTTCCAGTGAAAACCACACTCCATGAAAACTAAAAAAAGTCTGAATGTACTACTGAGGAAAAGCCAAATAAAAAACAAAGTGAACAGATAGACTCATTTGATTGCTGTTGACATTTTGAAGGCATAATAACTATATGAGATACTAATGTGCAACACTTTGTTGGTGGAGAACATCATGCTGTGAGATCCTTTGTGGGACGTCTGCTTGCAGTGGAGATAACTTTAAAGATAGAATGAACAGTAGGTAGATATTGACTTCAAAAGAGAATGAACCAAGTACAGTTCAAAATGAAATGCCTAGGCAAAAATAAAATTAGAAAAGGCAATTTAGAAAGGGGAACAACGGCATAATGCAAAAGTGAATATTAAAAAGGGAGTATCTGAGTGAAATAGCATTGCCGAGGAGTTATAAATGAAAAATAAAATGGCTAGGGAAATCTAAGAGAGGTAAAACTAAATAGAAAACACCTTAAAAAAGTTAAAACATTTCAGCAGTGAAACAAATTGTGGGAAGCTGAGAGCACTAGATTTTAATTAAAATTTAAGCTCTGTAGGACATGTGACATGTTGAAGATGCTATAAAAATGCAAGCTGTCATAATTGAAATAGGTGTTTCACTGCTGTAATCAAATGATTTAAGAATTCCTTGCCCTGTAAGAGTAATCTCATTGAGAATTCAATACAATATAAAAGCTCCATAGAAACTGACAGCACTATGCGTGTCATTTAAGCAAGCTTAAAATTTAAAAGGTTGCGTCCAATAAAGGACTGAAGAGCTATTGAAGATTGTTTTCTAATTTTGTGACAAATCTAAGGAGGGCTCCTTGACAAGAACTCAACTGTTATCACATTACTCCAACAGCAAAGACTCATCCAAGGAGGAAGTCCTTGTTATGATCAGGAGATCTTAACTCTTTTTATTTGTTCAGGAAGAGCACAGAGACATGATATTATCAATGTTCCAGCCATCAAAAGACCACTATAATCCTTCCATTAATTACACCCAGAGTTACAATGGGATAACTTTAATTGGTTCAGAAATAGTCAGCTTTTAAGTGAATGTGAATGCTTAATTGAGGCTATTATGTTACAGAGCTGCTTTTTCTCAGTCCAATCATAGACCTCATTTGTTTGATGTTGAATTCATTAGAAGTTGATGCACATGGACTCACATCCATCAGATTTTGTGATGCATACACACATCCAACAGGTGTGGAACAAAGTCAAAGGAATTTATCTTAAAATACCAACAGTATTGTAGGGTGAGTTCCCATTGTGCCTGACTCCTGTACCGAAACAATAATATCTGACAAACAGATTCAAAAACTAATTGACTTAATCATTAGTGACATATGCTCAGTTCATCATATTTCCTCGCACGAATCCCATCTCCCTGACGAATAATGCCCTTAGCACTAAATCTAGCTTGAAAGTGCGCAATAATATTTAAAAAACAGCACGAAGAACATTTATCTTACTTCTAAGAGAACTAAATCATATCTCCAATTCCAATGCAATAAACCTTATCTTTGATGCAACATACATTTACATTCAGTAATGTAATTCTGAACAGAACGACTCAGGGAAGACACAAAATGCCTGAGTTCCAGGCTAGACAATATGAATTATGGCAGTTAACTTTCACAATATAAAATAAGACCAAACAGGAATTAAAACCCGACCGAATTCTTGGTAATTACTCTTGGTAATAGTAAAGTCTCTACTTCCTTAAAATCATTGTAGATATCTACTTTTTGATTTGAGTATTTCATTCACTGCAAATTTGGTGTATCAGAAACAAATTAGGAAGACTTTCAGTGTTTGATATTTTTAATCAAATAGCACTACAATAAGAAACCATCCTGAGGTATTTGCAATGATTCACTAATGCCATTTTGAGAAGGAAATCTGCCATTCTCACCAGGCCTGGTCTACATGTGAAACCTGACCCATGGCAACATTGTTGACACTTACCTGCCCTCTGAAATGCTGTTGCAAGCCATTATTTTGAATTAAAGCCACAATAAAGGATTTAAACCAGGTGGAGTCATACCTGGCACAAAGGTAGATGGCTGTGGTTGTTGGAAGTTAACCATCCCAGCCTCAGGACTGTAATGTTTCAAGAAGACAGTTCACCACAACCTTTTTCAGTGCAATTAGTGATGGGCATTGAAGGGTGACCCAATAATTAATTCAAGTTAAAATGGAGGACTAAAAGGAAAAATTGGACCTGTTCTAATTTCTATCTGACGACAAGTTTGGGCAGCTTGATTGTGAAAAGTTAAAGTGCGGGGTGGAGAAAGTTTTCTTGCTGGGAAGAAGGTACAAGATCATCAAACAATGGCCCAGGCATCTGTGATCCCAAATCACAGGGAGGTCTCCGGAACGTCAGGTATTGTAAATGCTTCTGTTTAGAACTATTCATATAATTTTGACTTAAAATGGAATTGAAAGTCTAAATGATAACTAATAAGCATTTCTATCTGGATACAAGGTCCATGTGAATCACGTTGCCATGAAGATGGGCTTTGAGATGGTACTGACCATAGAAAGCCACTGTAGTATTGGCTCAGGGACTTCTCTTCAGAGATCCCTGACCAAACAAACAGGTTAGAATTGGAGTGGAAGGGTGATGGTCGTGTTGGGGAGCTGGGGGTATGAGCTGGAAAATAGAAGTAACTAGCACTGCAGATAAAGGAAAGAAAATGTTGGCTCCTTGGAGACCATATGAATTGCATTTGCGAACATGGGGTCATACTGAAGAAACTAAATTTGCAAAAATTAAAATAAGAATGAAAGATTCACCCAGCTTGGCTAGAGGGACGAATCTCCACTGCATTTTTCACGATAAAAATAGGTTCTGGAATTCAAAGTTGCCCAGCTGGGAAAAGAAAAGAAAGGCAACCAGTTCTATGGAAGTTAAGAAACACTCTGGTCCAGATCCTGGAGAATGAAGTGACGATTTAACACAGTGTAAAGCATAACTTAAACATTAATTTTCTGACACATGACCAGTTAAATGGTGTTGATGAGTTCTTTTCTGAAGTTAAGTGTATAGGTTCCCTAGACTATCTCCTTGATATGTTTTGAATGGTTTGGTTTGGTCCATAACACTATTCAGATAGAATACAGTTATTTATATGCACGTTCTATTTTGGTGGCGAAAATATGTTGATTTAAACTTGAACTTTGTGGCTTTGTTCCATTAAAAATACTTTGCATTCTAAAATAGATAAATAAATAAACATATTACTGGTCCCATACCAAGATTATCCAATAATATAAAATACAAGGCTTTGTTTCTAAGTCAGGGAAGGGGAAAAGCAGCTTTGTGTAGGTTGTCAGCTCCTCATGGTTAACTAGTTTGTCATTATATACTTTTTTATGATTGGAATGGTATTTATTTGTTCAGGGCAAAAAGATGATGCAGGCAAGACTGCAGCTATCACCTTTCAAACTGCCATAGGGCCAAGAGAAATCAACTACTCAGGCTGTGTTGGAATTGGTTTAGGTCAGACCAGGCAGGAATAGCTGCTTCACTTCAGTCAATTAGACATCGACAATCAACAAATTAACAAACCTACATGTTAACAGATTATTTTGAATCAGTGTGATTTGAATTCATGGCTTTGAAACCCTACAGTAAGAAGTAAAGGCAAAATACCACAGCTGCTGGAGATATGAAATAAAAACAGAAACTGTGAACTGGAGAAGCTCAACAAAGTTAAAGCTATGCACCTGACACGATTCTTCTTTGGCAATGAAGACATTAACAAACATTAAACTGTCTCCACATATGCTGCCAATCCTGCTGTGTTTCTCCCGCATTTTCTGTTTTTACCCCAGAATAATAACTACTGGTCCACGAAACAGAACAACAGACACAGGCCATTTAGCACCACCATCCAAATCTCCCAAAGACTGTTCCACCTTGCAAGCTGGGCAAATGGATGACATACATGATGCTTATTCCAGAACTATGTAAATTGTCCCATGTCCCTGAATTTAGAATCAATGGTAGCCACCACAAAATTGTATTCCGATACCTTTGAGAAGAGGGGCAATATCTGTGTATGAAAAGCTACATATTTCCATTTGTTTACATTGAAATAAAACCACGAAAGTACAAACATTATGTTTTTGTTTTTATTAGGGGTGGCACAGTGGCTCAGTGGTTAGCACTGCTGCCTCACAGCACCAGGGACCCATGCTTGGTTCCACCCTCTGGCGACTGTGTGGAGTTTGCATGTTCTCCCCGTGTCTGCATGGGTTTCCTCTGGGTACTCCGATTTCCTCCTACAGTCCAAAGATGTGCAGGTTAAGTGGATTGGCTATGCTAAATTGACCACAGTGTCCATGGATATGTAGGCTAGGTGGATTAGCCATAGGGAACGCAGGGTTACAGGGATAGGGTGGGGTGGGGGGGGGTGGTAGGTCTGGGTGGCATGTTCTTTGGAGGATCGGTGTGGACTCAATGGGCTGAATGGCCTGCTTCCACACTATAGGGATTTTATGATTCTCTGCAATCAATTCACAAATCAGCACTGATATCGTTATTTTTTAGAGAAGCAGTGTGAAAACTACAAATCCTGGCTGAATATAAGAGATAGAATAAGTGGTTTGACTTCATAAGCTGTTAACCAGGTTGATTTGCTGAGCAGAACCACTCAATATTAATCTGGCAAGTGTGTTGTACTGTCTTAGGACCACTGGTCGTTCTAAAGGTCAGCAGACTTGAAGACTAGCTACATTTCACAATTGATTAAAAATAATACAACTTTGCTAAAGTATATTTAATTTACTGAACTCTTGAAGCACTTCAATGTTTGCATCATACCAAGAGTTAAGCTTAACAGTATCTCTAATGCTTTCTGTGTTATCTATAAATGAACCATACCCTTCAGTGACACTGTTTTCTATGCAACATGCATTCTGCAGTGATACTGATGTGGCTTTATAACATACCATACATCCTGTGGTGTCAATCTTTCGATCAGTCACACAACGATAATTTCTCGTGCAACCTCCATTATCCCGGGAGCAGTCACGCACAGGGCCAAATGAGGACAAGAGATCGTCTGGCGTTTCAAAGTATGTAGATCGCAGAGCTTCCTCCCTTTAAAGAACATGAGAATTGAATGCGTTAGAGCAATGCTGCAGAATTAAATTGACCCCAACAGCAACTAACCCAGGAGGAAAGAAGTCTTGACAACACACACTGCAAACCTCATTCATCTATTTCATGAGTCCAGACAACTAGCTTAATGTTTCAAATTGTTTCATCCTTCAGAGACTGCCAGTCTAAATTAGACCATTTAGAAGCATAACTACTCATGTGCAAATTTAAATTCTGCTATCTCCTCAGGGTATGAGATTGTTCAGAACTGACTGCACTTGCTATCTTCAAGATATGGTGACCCTATCTGTTGATATACGTCAACTGAATTTTAAAACCATTAGAAAGAAAATCAAAACTCAGTGAAATATCAGCAATGCTGTATGGTTCAATGAATTTTGAGGGAACATAGCCACAAAGATATTCAACTCACTGAATTTCTGTGATCACTGGAAACAGTGATTAGCCTTTCTTCATTGGATCTTGAAAGCCCATTTCAAAAAGTTCACATTTATTTTTCAGAAGCATTTGTTTCCAATCAATGTCCTACTGACATTAGGAAGCTACAAGCATCACTGAATTCAGTTGACAGTCACCTTCTGGGATAGGATCCTCATGAGCAGTAAAACCAATACATATATAGAAAAAATAAATGAGTAATCCGTTTTAAGGTGTTTTAATCATTACAAAATTAATTACTTAATTTAGAGTTTGAGTTATCATGACAACAAATTCCTTTTAGGACAATTATTTCTGAGATATGTCACTAAGTGTCTTAATTTTTGAACAAAGATCCATTTCCACTCTGGGTTTATCACTGAAAACTTATGTTCCCTTTTGGGGAGAATGAAAATATTTTCAATGAAGTTATCAATGACAGTATATATTCATAATTCCCAGCAAAATACTCTTGGCTGACTACTTGTCTGCTTGCCAGACAAAAGGCCAAGGAGAACTTTGGCTGTAGGAAGAAGAATGGATAAAGATATAAAGAAACAATTGTCTTCAGCATGACTGTTCAGGAGTCAATCAGATACATATCATCATAAAACAAGGACCATTTAAACATGGATGGTGGCTCATACTTTCCAAATTCCTGACACAGAATTCTTAACCTGTGATATTCTAACGTGTATGCAGAAATAAAGGTGAAACTTTAATCCAGAGTCAGTGGAATGAAAAACAGATTTTAAACCTTGGATAACACGGTGTAGAGCTGGATGAACACAGCAGGCCAAGCAGCATCAGAGGAGCAGGAAGGCTGATGTTTCGGGTCGAGACCCTTCTTCAGAAAAAAAAACTTGGCCTCAGTTCTGGGCATCTATCGGCAAATATTGCCAGTTGTAGAGTCATACAGCATGGAAACAGATCCTTCGGTACAAGAAGTGCATGCCAACCATAATCCCAAACTAAACCATACCTACCTGCCTGTGCTTGGCCCCATATCCCTCCAAACCTTTCTTAGTCATGTAATCATCTAAAAGTCTTTTAAACGTTGTGACTGTACCCGCATCTACCACTTCCTCTGGAAGTTCATTCCATACACAAGCCACCGTCTTGTAAAAAAAGTAGTCTCTCACACCCTTTTTAAAACTTTCTCCTCTCGCCTTAAACATGTGTCCCCTAATCTTGAAAATTCCCACCCTAGGGAAAAGACACCTGACATTCACCTTATCTATACCCCTCTTGATTTTAAAAACCTCTGTAAGGTCACTCCTCCACCTCCTACGCTCAAGCGAAAAAAGTCCCAGCCTGTCCCTATAACTGAGTTGACTGAGTAGACAGTGCAATTGAGAAGCAGTGACAAAGAAAATAAGAAATGGAGTCTCACAAATGCAATTAAGATTATAAAATGATAGAGTTAAATACATTATTGGATACTTTTATACTCAGAACTTGAATTACCACCTGTAAGGTCATTACTACATTACACTATACTACCTGGTAAGATAACACAAGGATTTTTTACCTGCTTAGATTGTTATGCTTCAAGGACTGACTATAACAAAACAGTGTAATGAATATGAAAGAGCCATAAGAATGGCAGCGTGAGTTGGTGACAAGTGGAAACTGTTTTTATGCTGGCAGACTGAAAGGGAATGTATTATAATATTGATTAACCAGGAGTTACAGCAAAAATAAAACAACATGTAAATTACACATATCCTCTCCATTCATAATCTTTAAATTTTACTTTGTAAGTCAGTAACAAAAATAGAAATTGCTGGGAAAGCTCAGCAGGTCTGGTTGCATCTGTGGAGCGAAATCAGAGTTAACATTTTGGGTCGATATAAATAAGGAATGGAAGCAGTAAACTTAGTAGTATTGTAAAATGCTGCAGCACAAGGTTATGAGGCTGCTCATTTTATTTGGCGTAAGCCAACTTTACTTGCTCAAGTTTTATTAGGGTCAAAACCGAAGGCCTGACTTCGTTCATATAATTAAACAAAGTTCTAATAGCAACTGCAAATGGGTTCAAGTGGCAGTCATAACATCTTGATTAAATGACACAGTAATAGTTCTTTTGGAATTACCTTATCAAATATCTTGGCCCATTTGTAATATTAGGTTAATTAACTCTGGCAAAAGAAATGCACCATAACTCAAACTCGTACAATATTGCAAAAAATTCTTGAAAGAAGCTACTGCATAGTCATTAAATCAATCTGTTACAAATGAGATGTCTTAGGATACAAATTGTAGCACCTGATTGGAATCTTGATCAATCAGTACTTTAATGGTAGTGTCCATACCCCTGGACCAGGAGGCCTGGGCTGAAGAACCGCCTGCTCCAGAGGTATGTAATAACATCCAAGAGCAGGTTGATTAGAAAAATAGGTTAAATTTAGAATATACTTCTGGCCATTCAAATATTTCTGGTTTTGTTGCATACCTTCCTAATTACAATGCACTTTTTTTCTGAAACTGAAACCAACAGGCATATCTAGTTCAACCTAAACCTATTATTTAGTGTTTACGGTGATCTCCGGTGACTTTGTTAATTGGTAGCCTAAGGTCTGTAGTGAATCATTAGATTTAGCTGGTGAACCCGCCTGTTGTTTACAGACAATTCACTTTAATTAAGGAGTCTTGATAAATCCTTTATCCAATTAGCTACTACTTCCTGATCTCTGTTTGGGAAATGATAAGTTTATCAAGGTCAGATTAATAAAAAAGGAATATAACTTTCTACTTTTGCTTTTTGTCCCCTTGTATTTATACTCAGGAAGGAAACATTTGTCAGGCAATGAGGAAGCAGAAACAGGAATGTTGAATTAATCGGCAACTCTTTCAGCACAGAATTAATGGTTTAAATGGATGTCTTTAATGCAGCGTGATTTAGTCTATTGCAGTACTTCTTGTAGCGATTTAAGATATATCCTGCATGATAATAGGATGCTATACCCTGCCATGAACAAATATTATAAATGCCTCTGATTGACAGTACTAAAACTAATAATTAGAACTGTCACTCTTGAGAATGGGATGAAGCAAATTCAATAACTAATGGTATGGAAATAGTCACGCACAAAGTTAATTAAATAAACTAACAACGTTAATGAATTGAAAATGACAGGAGCACAAAATTTAATGAAATGTATCAAGTACACTGGGGTGTGATAATAGAACAGTTTGCAGAAGCAAACATGATCCATGATTGAAAGAGTAGGAGAAACAGTAACACAGAATTTAAAAGGAATAACATTAACAGTCTTTTTTGAGTGCAAATATTGTAGGTTAACCCAGGTTTTTCTGGGAGCAGGCAGAAAAGGACTTTTTTTCAAATTCATTGACAGGATGTGATCATCACTTAGTTGGCCTTGAGAAGATGGTGGTGAGCTGCCTTCTTGAACTGATGCAGTCCACCTGCTGTATGTGGACCCACAATGTCTCTATAGAGGGAGGTTGAGGATTTTGACCCAGTGATGCTGAAGGAACAGCAATATATTTCCAAGTCTGAATAGTGAATGACTTAGGGGATAACTTTCAAGTGATGGCCATGAGTTCGGAAAGTTCTGTCTAAAGAGCCCTGAAGTGCAGTGTATCTTGAAGGTAGAACACACTGCTGTAACAGCATGGGTACTGAAGGAAATGGATGTTTGCGGCTGTGGTGATAATCAAGGGGGGTAGCTTCAACCTGGATGGTGTCATGTTTCTTGAGTGTTGTTGGAGCTGCACTCACCCAGGCAAGCAGACAGTATTCCATCACATTGCTGACTTGCATTTTATGGTGGACAGGCTTTGGGAATTCAGGTAGTCACTGGTATGCTGCAAGATTCCTAGTCTCTGACCTGATCTTGTAGCGATAATATTTGTACAGCTGATCAAGTTCAGCTTTTGAACAATGTTCAAGGTTAAAAAAAGTAAGAAGGCTTTGATTTCATCTATATTAAGTCAGTAAAAGGACCATAGACATCTCTCTCTCTTACAAAGAGACAGCATTTTATGTGTAGCTCCAGGGTAATTACTCCACAAGTGTGGCGTGAGGTGAGCAGGCAGAGTCTCCATGAACTAGCACTGTATGTATATGGATTGAACCCATGTTGTTGGCTTTATCCCGCATGACCTTCTAGTCATCAAGCCAACCAAACATCCAAACAATAAAATACTACTGAAAGAAATCAACAAATTCGAACTCAGCATAGGCTGGAATTTAACAGATAAAATATGTTTTTGTAGAACAATTGGCAACATTCTGTAAAGTGCCAGAGAAATTAAATTGAATGAATAATATATATTCATTTAGTTTTCACAACCTTGCATTTACATATCTTCCCTACAGTGTGAAAACAGGCCCTTCAGTGCAACAAGTCCACAGCAACTCTCAGAGCATCCCACCCAGGCCCATCCCCCTATAACTCACCTAATCTACACATCCTGAACACTATGGGCAATTTAGCATGGCCAATCCACCTACCCTGCACATCTTTGGGCTGTGGGAGGAAACCAGAGCACCCAGAGGAAACCCATGCAGACACAGGGAGAACATGCAAACTCCA